CTTCTGAGACTAAGACTAAGACAAACCAGGTATCTGGCTCCATCTTATGGCCATTTGAGTAACCACACCCAATTGTAGTTTTTAGCATGCTCTTAAAGAGACAGTATTAAAATGTCTATCCTGGTTTATATATTTCCATCCCAAATAGCTGTTAGGTTACTTACATTCCTAACAGCTGTTTCAGGCAAAAAGTGTTTGGTGCCTATGGGATGTTTACAAATGGATCCATCTGCTCCGTTTCCAAGCATCCCATAGGTGCCCAAACATCTTTGCCCAGACCGAGAACTTACGCGGACCGGAAACTTCATTTCCTTGCAAAAGGGGTGCTTAAAAATGGAGCGGATAGCTTTTCACTTCTCCAGGTGAAAAGTGTTCTGGTGGGAGCAGAAAGGAGTTGGGGGGGGGAGCAGGAGAAAGGCGCCACAAACACTTTTCACGCTCGGAATGAAAGTTCCTGGGGTCCATGATCTTGTGAGAGTTCAGGCACCCAGCCTCTGCAAAAAAGGATAGGTGCCTGAACATGTGTAATATTATGGCACCTATCAACTGTTTTCCATCAACTCTCCTTTCCCTCAGGCACAGAAACCACAGCAGAGAGGAGATACAGATCTTGTAAGGTAAGTGAGTCCAGTGGCAGGATGGGAGGGAATTGTGGGGAGCAGGAGCAGTGGGAATAGGGTGAATGTTGCAGACCTCTGCAGTTGTTCGTAAGGGTGAACAACTGCCATGGTACTGTAACATTCGTAATTTCAGGGCTTGCTCGTAAACACTAGGGGGCGCTTATCTTATAAGTTCGAACAGGCACTAAATGAACACTTGTAACTTGGGAATTACCTGTAACTACATTCCTGAAGGCAGCCTTCTTTTAGAGTGAGGTTGTGTCCATGGCTGGCTGGGGAATTCTGAGAGTTGAAGTCCGCAAGTCTTAAAGTTGCTAAGATTGGAGACCTCTGGTCTAAGACTTCTGTGACTAGAAGTAGGGAGATCTGTTGGGAGTTAGGCAAGGGCACATCTTCAGCAAGGTGTCCCTAGATATGGAATTAACAATTCCTTGTGAGAATGATCTGAGCCTATCCCTCAAGTGGATATTTTTGTAATATCCTAAAAAGTGTGAGAGTTGAGAGTCACAAGTGCTTTGAGAGAGAAGCAAAATGGGATAATATAACTGATTAAAAATTTGGCACACGTGGCAACAATATCCACAAAACAGCCTTTCACTTCAGCAGAAAGAAGAGCAATTGGTATGTTGCTGACCAGTGAGAAATGTTAATTCAGTTTTCTTCCAGGATCATGCACAGTTTCTAAAAATACCATTGTTGAAAATCTTAAAAACTTTGGTGAAAAGACAGTATTAGTCAAATATTTTTTTAAAATAATGAGGTACCAAAATATCACTCCAGCTTTATTTAAATTCTACTTAGATATTTCAAAACATTTTTTATCTTTCAGAGAAAGAAAAACTCATTGAAACATGAAGGACACATCTCTGTTGCTTCTTTATGGGAACAGCACCTGACTTTAATGGATTTATCAAAGCTACAAACCAGTCCTCAGCCTTGGAAGACAACCTTAGCAATTAGAAATTCTATCCAAATTCTTTATGAGCAAGAACCTTAAATCTGCACTTCAACTATCCTGGCTAACCAGTTTTATATTCATGAATCTCTTTCTGTCACATTTATACTCTCCAGCTGAAATTGAGAGGCAGCACAAAAATGGTAAGGATCTACATCTTTATATCTGTTTTTCCATTATATGAAAAAAAAAATGGAATGAACTTTCCACCAACACCTTAACAATGTCTGAGGACTATATAGCAACACATTAGCAACTACCAGTAGTGTGGATGTGAAAAGAGTAGGTGGATGCAGTAAAAGTCAAATATTACTAAATCTCATGATAAATTATATAACAGGGCCTCCTACTTGATGTTGTGATCATTATTTATAATAAATGAAAGCTTACATTGTGGAGGGGGAAAAATCTACTTTAAAAGATAAGTCAAAAATCCATGAAAAGATTAGCCTCTAAGGCATTAGAGGATGAGTATAAAGGACTTGAAAAAGAGCTACAGATGTATTCTTTTCTTATTATATCTACAAAATGATTCTAGGATAGATTTGGGATGATAATAAAACAAATTAAGTAAAATATGATTATTTTGTAAAACATGAATGAATAAAAGTATAGTCAAATGATTAATAATGATATTAATGTATTTAATATTTGATTGAAAATACAAGATTATATACAATGTAATTGTAATTGAATACTATGAAATGGAAGCACAAAACAATCTGTAAACCAACCGGCACACTGTATGTATGTATGTATGTATGTATGTATGTATGTATGTATGTATGTATGTATGGCATTCAGCTTTGTTTGGGTATTTTCCCACGTCATTGTAGTTGTGCTTTTAAAGTTGTAGCAACGTTTCGGCAGAATCTCATCTGCCATCATCAAGCTTCTGTATAGTATATATGGAAGATGACTTGATGTTTTTATGTTTTGTTTGTTTATGTTTGTTTTAAAAACCAATAAAAATTAAAAAAAAAGATAAGTCAAAAATCCTTTGGGAGAGGAAATTCAGCTTCATGTAATAGAAACAACTTTGATTTATCTCAGAATGTAGTCCGTGCATCCTGTAGTCAGAATGTAGTCATTATGTACTTTATTGCATTAAATGTCATTATTTAATTCATTAGAACTAATTTATTAAAAACTATAAAGAAAGTTTTTAGGTGTTTTTAGCTCCATGAGTTTTTGAATGAAAAACCCTTATTCTAATAAATTAGAATGTCTTAACTATTTTTCTTAATCCGTGTTGGATTGATTTAATAAAAACAACGAAATAAGCTTTAGTTTTATTAAATTAAGTAATACAATATGAATTTTAAGGAAAAAAATGACTGGGATATCTGAAAGAATGTTTATTCAAAGCTAGTCATGGATCTTTTGTAGCTGGAACTGTAATTTGGAGTAGGACCAGTCATATCATTTATTCAACTTTTGTTCCTTTTGATTTCAAATTCACATATTGTCATTATGATGCTAAATAATAGTGACTGCTCCTAATTAAACATGTACTGTTTAACACTAAGAGCAATTCTATAGCCACCAGTAATATTTTCCATCCATACAGAATATGTGGATTAGTTTATCAGTGCCTAACTTCTCTTTTACGGATTGTTCCTTTCTCATTGATCCCTGCACCTCTCCTTTCCTTTCCCAGATATTAGCAAACATTGATGCTTTCATCCCCTCCATTTTCCCATTATTTTCTTTGAAATGTAGGCTCCTCCTTTCTTCTTCCAACTTGTATCATTGCTGTGATGTTTCAATGATCAAAGTCAACAAACTGTCCTTTCTAAACTCCTCTGTAGAATCACAGAAACGTTGTACCAAGGGAAAACTGAGAGTGGAGTTGAAAAATACACAAGGAAAATGAAGGTGTAGGTTTAGTTATGGATGAAAGGGATGAAAAGTATGGCAATATTTATTATTAAATATTTATTAGCATCTCCTGGTTGCTGTGGGAAAATAAAGAAATACAAAAATGTAAAGTAAAATAAAAGTAGAAATATGCAGGCTAGCAATAGTTGCATGTTACATTTCTGTGATAGGTGATAATGGAAGAATCATGGATGAGTTTTAAGATAATCTGAGCATTATTCCCAATGAATAAGATAAAAGGTGAAGAATTATTTTTTTAGGTAGCAGTAACTGATGGCAGGACTAAGATATTGTGCATTTTGAATGCAAGAATGAATGAAAATGGTGATCATAAAATAAGCATTTGCTTAAGAAAAATATGTTTCAGATGCATGCTTTACTTATTAGCTTATTTATGCTTAACATATAAAAAAGAATGAATCAAGAAACATGATTAACATAAATACTTATGGTGAAAGATTACGATTATTAATGAACTCAGAATGATCAGAGTTCCAAACAGGAGCCTTGGGAAAAAATAAACATGGAAGAGAAATAAATAAATAAAAGAAATGGAATCAAAGTAGATTGAGAGAAACAATGGCTCCTGTATGAAATATTATTAGAATACAAGTTATTTCCCCAAAAGAATCACTAGAAAACAAAAGAAAAAAGCTACCTTTATCTCATATCCTTAATTTCTTTTGCTTATTATTTTTTACCCAGAATTTTATATTTGTTTCAAACAATTCCAATTAGACTTGGAAAAGACTACTTTGAAGATTTAAATAAAATTGTGTTGAATTATATATGGCAAGGTAAGAAAGCGAGAATAAAGTTAAAACTTTTGCAAGATGCTAGAATTAGAGGAGGATTTGGTTTGCCTAATTGGGAATTGTACTACCAAGCTACAAATCTGATGTGGGTTAAGGAATGGATAACACTAAGAAATGCTAGATTGGTGACATTAGAAGGACATGATCTGTTGTTGGGGTGGCATGCTTTTTTATGGTACAAAGGAACTAAAACACAGGGGTATTTTAGAAGACATTATATACGGGAGTCTTTGTGGTTAAACTGGGAGAAGGTTAAAAGACAATGTTATTTGAAAATTCCAGTCTGGTTATCGACTATTGAAGCATTTTCGTATCCTATAATATACAAAAAGTGCTTCACACCATATTGATTATATGTATGTATGTCTGTGCGCGTATACACACACCTATATACATGCATGCATGCATGCATACATACATACATACGTACGTACATACATACATAATGTCTTACAATATTAGATACTGAATACTGTGTATAGTTTTGGTTTTGTTAACTTAATGTCACTATTATTTAGTCCTTGTAATTTACTAAAAGTCTGACCTGCTGAATTTTCTATTTTATTTTATGCAGATTTTAAAAAGCAAGTAATGGAGTAAAAAAAAAAGTAACTCTATCTTACATCACCTGAAGGAAACAAATTTTCAACCATCAGTTCAAGTAACAGCATTGACAGCGGTAATAAGCTACAATCTAACATGGTATATGCAATTCCACCAATTTCAAAGAAACATATACCTCTAGGCAGTTTGCATTTTAATTAAAGTGAGAAGAGAAAGGTACAGCAATAGAACAGATCTGGAAAAGAAGCAGTCTGGTTACATTTAAGAGACAAAACAGTGCCACAAACAGAAAAATAAAAATAAGGCAAGATAGTCAAATTAATTATATTCTGTTCTTGGATTCATCGTAATTTGCCAAAGCTACTCTGACTAGGGCTGTGCCATGCAGTTATAGTACATGATATTGACTTCATTTGCAAAAGAAGAAGTTGTTGCTGGGGAGGGGGTGGAGGATTCTGCCCTCCATCGGCAGCTAGGAATCCTAGAATCACCCTGTTGAAAAACACAAAGAACTGCATCTTTGTGACTTGTTTTCTTCATTTCTATCTTGCACCAAATCATACTACATGGAAAGTGAAAACAACACTGGACTGACCTATTTCTACTTTCATCCCTTTTCAACCATCCCAGAGGTGAGATTGTTGATGTTTGTTTTTTTCCTAGTTTTGTTCCTGCTCAGTCTTTTGGTGAATCCTGCTGTCTTACTCGGTGTGCACAATGAACGCTCCCTCCACACACCCATGTATTTCTTCTTGTCGAGCTTGGCCATGCTGGAAATAGTCTATTCTTTTGTCCTTGCTCCCCTTACCCTAGCCAACCTCCTCTCTGCAAAGAAACCCTCCATCTCCTTGCCTGGGTGTGGCACCCAGATGTTTTTCTTCATCTTCTTGGGAAGCAGTGACTGTTTCTTGCTATCCGTCATGGCTTATGACCGCTATGTGGCCATCTGCCAACCTCTGCGCTATTCAAGCATTATGAGCTGGAAGGTGTGCACTGCCCTTGTAGCTGGGACCTTCACCATATGCTGCTTGTTTGGCATGCAGATCACTATCTTGATATTACGCCTCCCATTCTGTGGCAACCATGAAATCAATCACTTTTTCTGTGACTTCCCGGCTGTCCTAAAACTAGCCTGTGGAGATACTCATGCTCATCATGCCACATTCTTCATCATCTGTGCCATTGTCATGGTTATTCCATTTCTCCTAATCTTGATCTCTTACATCTTCATAGTGAGGGCCATCTTGCGAATTAGCACCACTTCTGGTCGGCAACGGGCTTTCTCTACTTGTTCCTCTCACTTGATGCTTGTCATTATGCAGTACGCCTGTGCCAGCGTAACATACCTGCGGCCTGGCTCCAGGTACTCATCACAGGAAGGTCAGGTGGTGTCTATATGCTATACCTTTGGCACACCCGTGTTAAACCCCCTGATCTATACCATGCGGAACAGGGAGTTAAAAGATGCACTGACCAAAATCCTGAGAAAGTATCTGCTGTGCAAATGAAGGGTGTAGCAATCCCAACTAGCACCACCGTGTGGTAGAAATACAATGCAAGATGTTGCAAAAGAACACAACGTATGGGACTGAAATACTTATTCAAGTTTTATA